TCAAAGATTTTAATTCCCTCACTTGCAGCCTCCTCAAAGCTATACAGGTGTCTCCCCTTGCACAAGCCTCTAATGGTCTCCAAAACCTGAACAGATCTGTATTGTTCAAGAGGAGGCATCAGATGCACCACCCAGATGTTAATTCTCATATAGAACTTCCACATAAGATAATTCTAGGGCTACATATATATGACTTCCACCAGATATATATAATAATATAGCTCCCTTCTGGCCCTGGAATCTATAAAACTGTGTGAATCTATTAAGAAATACTGAATGAGTACCACTAACTAGTAACAGAACAGCTTTGATAATGTCTACACTCATTTAATTTTTGTTTTCACTCCAAACACCACTCATTACTTTGAATACTTACAGTACAGGATATTTTATTCTTGATAAACACAAAACAAATTTTACTTAGTTTACCAGTAATCCCTAAACAATTTTTGGTACTTATGAGAAAAAATTCTGCCAAATAAAATCAGTAATGTTAACTGAAATCAAATGCCAGAACATTGCAGGCAATCTGAAAGAAATTCTTGGGATGTTGGGAAGTCATATGAAAAATTGTGACTATCTTGATTCATACAGGACATATGGTCACTTCAGATTCTAATGCTTCAGGGCATAAGCCAACCTGTAACGGATTAGGGTTTCGGAGAACCTTCCTCTGTGCAGGTTATTTCATAATTGTTCCATTCTAGGTTTCTTACACCTTTCGCTAAAGTATCTGGTCCTGACCACTGTCCAATTCATTGTGGAAGTTCCAACATTCCTACGTTGCATGTTGCTCTAGGAAATGAAGTGTTAGAACTAAATTAGAATTTCCTGAAAATACATACTGCCCAGACAAGCTGAGATCTTTGCCTAAGTGACCTGGAGAAGATCATCCTATACATATATTTGCTCAAACTGATAGTGGACAAGGAGCTTCAGGGGATAGCCAAGTTAGTCTGTTACAGAAAAAAACAACAAATGGTCTGGCAGCCAGACCATTTGTTGTTGTTTTTTGATAGTGGACAAGTGAGTCTTGTTGAATAAATAGCAAGATACTAGGGAAAACAGTTCTACCGATGCTTCTGTGATTGATTCAGTGAGAGTTAATTTAACGGGTCTAGTGAAGACCTAAATCAACTGCAGAACATTCTCTGGTGGACTCCAGTGCTCTATCGGAATGAGAGTAATAAGGTAAGTCAACAGGAGAATGTGTCTCATCTACGCAGCACAGTGTATACACCATAGTGTGTCGACCTAAGGTATCCAGCTACAGTATTCACATAGCTGGAGTAGTGTAACTTGACAGGTACAGGGGACAATTTTCCTGATGGTTACAAAAAGGGTCTTTAAATTGCCACAGGAGTCCCAGGAAGTGTGCTCTGGGTGGTGGGGGAGAATAGCCTCTTGCCCCACCCTTTCCACCCAATTCCATGCCCCTTTTGGGTGTGTGGAGCTGGCCTATTCACCTTGTCCAGGAGCCTATTAAGTCTGTTGGCCTCCCAGAACTTAGGTCAGCTTACCCCAGTAGTATAGATTAGGCCTTAGTCCTTGTAAACAAACCTAGTCATTCCTGGACATCCTGTGCCTTTGTATCTTGAATCTTTAGTCTCCTACTTACTGGGTAATTATGTATCTGACTCTGACTGACTGTGGTCCCAAATTTTATAAATTAGGCATCTTGTTCTTTTCTTATGTAAAAATAAGCATATACCCCAATGTTTCGATAGGCAACCTTTTCCTCCTTCCTCTTGTATTAAAATTTAATTCAGATTGTAAACCCCTTGGGGGCAGTGGACCAATCCCCCAATGTCCATCTGTAAATCAGTGAACACACATGGTGGTATATAAATAATTTTATTCATAAAGGAGTGCAAATCTGGAGTCACAATCAGTATCTATTTCTATGAACAAAGGATGTTTTTACCTCCTCATTTGATTTCTGTAGACACTGATCTGTAACTAGCCACTTGAGGTATGTCTGCGTAGCATTTTGGACTGAACAGGGATGAGCTTCCCAGCCAGGGGTGATAGACTTGGGCAAGTGAGGCTCCACACTAGTGCTGTAAAAATAGCTGTAAAGACTGTGTTGGAAGCTGCAGATTGGACACTGAAGCCTAGTGAGCTGGGCCCACGCTGGAACTTCAATGCTTTGGGCTACAAGGTTCACTCCCTCTTATTCCAAAATGCTGAACCTCTGAGTTTCTGAGCAGGGATATGAGGACAAAGGGGCTGAGTTCCCCTTTTTTAGGGTAGGTTCAAAAATATTTAATGATGGTTATGTTTACCTGTGTGTTGGGAATGTTTCCTTGCCTGTTTTTTAGCGTCTTAAAAACAGCTTAAAATAAAAATAGGATAATTCAAGTATGGAAGAATTATAGCAGGCAGTGAAGAAGTGGGTGGAATCAAAGCAAAGAACTACAAAAGATAGGCTGTCCTGTCTGTCATTCAGATGAGAGGGGAGGAAAATCCAGGATATGGATAATCCATGTTTATAGCCTCAGAAATCAAAATGACAGGTAAATTATATTTATGTCATGGTAGTGTGGCAGTATGCTTCCTATTTGTGTTGGAATAATACTGTCACAATACACAAAAGGGTAAAGGAAGGCTTACACGATACTTAGTACTTTCCTCTTCACATCAGCGGTCCTGATAATTGTCAAATAAATGCTTGTTTTATTATAGATTAAATAAAATGCCATCAGATTGCCATAGTACTGGCAGCTTTGGTAACTAGCCCTTTAAGCAAACTGTTTTATTAGAAAATTCATAGCCTGATTACCACTGGCAAATGAAAAGTTCATTCTTAAAAAGTTAAAAAAAGGGGGGAGGGAAGGATGTTTAGACTAAAACACGATGAATTTTCAATAGTAATAATAATAATAATTAATAATATGGTAAAAAAAAAGAGAAACCCCCCACGCCCTCTGGCAATTGACCAAGAGCCAGTTGAAACAGCAGAACAGATGAGTGAAATGCTGGAGTTGCTTGCTCAGTGTTGTGACTTTGCAGAAGTTCTGAAGGGGCAAATGCATTACACGCCTGTCACACTGCAGAAACAGGTCAGGGGTCATGGTTAAGAGCAGGGTGTTGCTGGATAAGGTTGAGGAAGCAGAGGTGGCCCCTCTGCTCTGTGTGTGGGTCTGTGTACTCCTTTCCCGTCAGAGCTGGCCCAGCACAGCCAAAAAAGCGGTTCCTTGGCAAGACTTAATGGCAGGATGATGTAGTCTGTTGTGACTAGTGCATTCCTTTCAGGTTAAACTAGGGAAATGGCATTGTGTTAAAATTCCAAGTCGCATGAATGTTTTATTGCCACAAGTGCATTCAGGCCTCAAGGGGAGAGTGTGTGGTGGGGAAAGGGGGAGGGAGGGTGACTTAGAGAGTCAGGAACTATCAGAAGAACACTTCCCTTGGAAAATTTTACCCAGCAGTGTGAAGCTGACTTGCTGTGATAGCCGCTAAGAAGAGTTTCGCTTTTCCTAAACTGTGGCTTTTTAAAATCTCTCAGTCCAGACAATTAACAGCTGAAGAAAATATGACAAGACACACGCAAAGAGGTTGGGAGAGAGGGGAATGAAATGCGCCAGAAAGGAGCGGAGTTGCCTTCTTGTTTAAACTGCCATTTCTCCTCTTCCCTTCTCTCCCCCTCCCTCCTCACTACC